TTCGATCATGGATTACAAGAAAAAAACAAACATTTCGATCATGGATTACAAAAATTTTTATCATGGATTACAAAAAATTCTATCATGGTTACAAAAAAAAAAAAACAAAAAATTCGATCACGGCTTACAAAAAAAAAAAAACAATCGTAATTTCCACTTTTTGGAAAAAGATTAAAATAAGACCGTGGTACTTCTGAAGGAAAAACAAAAAGAAAGTCATAACTCAAATCTCACAAAAAATTACAGTTTCAGCATAAAAAAGTTTCAATTCAATCATCAAGATATTAGTGAAAAAAAAAATTATGTGTTTCAAACCCTAAAAATAGTGTATATCGTATCACATTATCTAAGCCGTCCATTTTCGAGTGTTCTTTTGAGCTACAAATTTTAAGAGCCCGCATCTTTTTTTGAAGCTTGAGTAAGCAAGCCCGCCCTCCCAGCCACACAAGCTCGAGAGAGAGGGCATCAAACGAGAGGCGTCGAAAACTTGAAATAAGGGGAACAAGAAAAGTACGGTCTGCTACTGTGATTGCAGTGGAATTTCAATGTTTGAACTTTGAATTGTTGCTCTCCTCTTGCTCTAAGCCATTAGTGATGGCGGGAGCGACTTCTAATTCTCACTCTATTGCAAGCCTTGCTGTCTATCTCTCTGATACCAGACCTTCTAAAACTAGGGTCCCCATAATACTTCACAAGGGGTCCTTCCCTTCTGTGAAAATTACTGCGCGTTCTTCTCGATTCACAGCTTGTTTACCTGCTGGTTACATCAATTCAACCCAAGAAACTGATCTCCAACTGCCATCGTCGAGCGGGTCCAATTCAGAATTCCAAGTTTTCACCAGGTACTCTCTCTCTCTGAATTGGCTATGGTAATGATTAATATTAATGTTTGGAGCATTTTTCAGTTGATTTCCTAAGGCTCTTTAATGGACTCTTTCGGCAATCTGTCCTTGTGTAGCCAGGAAATGCTCTAAGTGCAATAAAAGTTTTGGGGTAAAGAAGATTTTGCTGTATGAAGCTTGATAATTAATGAAAGTAACACCTTAAAATGCATGTGATTGACCCCACTGGAGATCCTAGTGTTCAATCTTATACTGCTTACTTTCAGTTTAACCATATTACAGTCCTTAGGATTTAAGGGCCCTCTTAGATGCAAAAGCAGAAATCCCAAAAAGCTGGATTCCATAGGAACGTCTATTTATCCAGAAACAAATAGGCGAGAGTACGAGTCATATTAAGAGAAATAAAGCATCAGCTAGAAATAAATAGGCGAGAGTACGAGTCATATTAAGAGAAATAAAGCATCAGCTAGAAACAAATAGGCGAGAGTATGGGTCATATTAAAAGATATAAAACTTAAAACACGGACGCCACAAGAAAACAAAGATTTACGTTGTTCTCCCCAAAGGACTTCATCAAGAAATACATCCATGGGCATGGCAACGAGTAAACCCTTTTAGACCCGCTCTCCTGACTCTCCCAACCTTTTTAGACCCGCTCTCCTGACTCTCCCAACCGGCACCACCTGCCGATGTCTCTTATCTATTCCAATCCATACCTAAACCACTGTCTAAGAAGAGACCCATTTCTTTTTCACAGCTAAACCAATGTCCAAATGTAGAACCTTGAGAGCAAACCAACCTCTCATTCGCAGCTAAACGAATATCCAAATGTAGAACCTTGAGAGCAAACCAACCTCTCAGTCTATAGGAGGTATCATCGCAACCTTTTCTCATAGCTAAACCAATGTCAAAAAGGAGAACCTTAAGAGCAAACGAACCTCTTAGTCTACAGGAGGTATCATCGCAACCTTTCCTCATAGCTAAACCAATGACGGAAAGGAGAACCTTAAGAGCAAACCAACCTAACCTTTCCTCACAGCTAAGCCAATCTCCAAAAGGAGAACTTTGAGAGCAAACCAACCTCTCAGTCTACAGGAGGTATCTTCGCGACGTTTTTCTCTATAGGAAGCATCATCGCAACGTTTCTCTCTATAGGAAGCTCCCTTCTCTTTAAGGAGGAGCCTTACCTCTCATGCACAGGAGACCCCTGCCTCTCATTCTCTAGCGGAAGCCACCTTTCCCAAATGGTGACCTCGAATAGGGCACACATGCTCTTTCTTCTCTTATTTTGTACATATAGGATTAGGAATCCCCACTAAATAGGAAACTTCCCATAAATGTTGCATATATCTAAAAAATCGAGAGTCCTAATCTTTTTGGATTTCTATTTCCTTTGGAAAACGTATCGATATCAATTTCAATATCAATCACAATCCCACATAATATTGGATTTCCTGATTTTGGATATCACCATATTCAACAATCTCCACCTTGACATCAAAATCACTGACTCACCATGCCAACATCTATTGGATAGGTTTATTAATTCTTCATCTTTTGCCAAATAAATTCCGTCATCATTCTTGCTGGAAATATTGTGCTTGCCATCATATTTCTCCACCTCAAATAAAATACACAAACACTAGCCTTGTACTGAACCATGTACTTTGATACCACTTTTTATAATTTAAGGGTCATCTGAGATGCGAAAACAAGAATTCAAAAAAGTTGGATTCCACCAGAAATATGTACTTATCCAGCTAAAAACAAAATAGGCGAGAGTACGAGTTATATTATGAGAAATAAAGCATTAAACATGCATGCCACAAGAACACAAAGATTTACGTGGTTCACCCCAAAAGGACTACATCCACGGGCATGAAAAATTGAAACCCACTATACCAATAAAAGTTACATCATAAATTTTAGGACATAGAGTTACCTCTTTAACCCTCCACAAAATCCAATCGAGTAAACCCTTTTAGACCATCTCTCCTAACCGGTACCACCTGCCGATATCCTCATTTCTATAAGCTAAACCAGGAAGAGACCCATCTCTTTTTTACAGCAAAACCACTGTTCAAGAAGAAAACCTTGAGAGCAACTGAGACTTTCTCTCACTAAAAGGGGAAACCACCCAAAATCTAAATCATCCAAACTCTCCAAGGGAACTGTTTCTCTAGAAGAAACCAAGCGTGTTTTATGTAAATCATCCAAAGTCTCCAAGTCGTTTCTCTATAAGAAACCAAGTGTTTTTCTCTATAAGAGGCTCTCTTGTCTTTAAGTAGAAACCAAGCGTTTCTCTCTATAGGATGCTCTCTTCTTTTTAAAAGAGAAACCAAGTGTTTTTCTCTATAAGAAGCTCTCTTCTCTTTAAAAGAGAAACCAATCGTTTCTCTCTATAAGAAGCTCTTTGCTCTTTAATGGGAAGCCTTGCCTCTCATGCATTGGAGGCCCTGCCTCTCACTATCTAGAGGAAGCCACCTTTCCTATATAGTGACCCAAATAGGGCACACATAAGTCGTGGGAGGCAAGGCACACAGGGG